TATATATATATTAAATAATAATAATAAATAATTCATATATTTTATTTCAAATGTAAAATAAAAGTTCCATTATATCAAATCAGTATTATAATTTGAAATAATTCATATGAATTCTAACGATATAATGAAAATAATCAATTATTAATATTAACTTTATAATAAATTAAGATCATTTATTAACTTGTAAGCATTAATTTCAATATATTCAATAATTTAAACAATAGACACATTACAATCTTTGAAAATTGTTTAAATAATTATAAGTATACAATAAATGTATGCGAAGTAAATATTATACCTAAGCTTTGACTAGTTATTTTTCTCTTTTTTTTGGTAATAACTATAATAACTTAAAAAATAAGTTTTAAAAATAAGTTTCAAAAATATTCTTTTCTATTTCATGGCATTAGTCATTAATTTCAGGATGATATAGGAAATATTATTTGCGAAAAATAGAGCTCTGCAAAATGACAAGCTTGTTTAAAAAAATATTTACGTTTGCCAACAACACATTGAATGATTTATAATAACATAGATAATATTTATATATATATATATATAAATGCAAAAATTATAAATATAATTTTATTCCATGGACTCTTATTGTACTCCTAACTTTAATATTTTGATAAATACTTTCAAAAAGTCATAGAGATACTACACATAGAGAACAGACAAACCAGCATTAAAACCTGTCGGCGAAATAAAAAGAGATAGAACGTGGGAGGTTGATGTTGTCTTTCTCTAACTTGCGCTGAACGGCGCATGCGCATTAGTCTGCTAGTAGAGGTTAAGGTTGCTGATATCGTATACATACGTATACGATAAGCACAAGTCTAACGCGCATGCGCCAGTACCGCATGAGTTAGAGAGAGACAACATCAACCTTTCGTTTTTTGACATATTCATACAGAGACATTTCCATTTACACAATCGCTTATGATTTGTCTCCTCTATCTGTAATATCTCTATGCAAAAAGTACTTCTTTTTTTTTATACGTGTATTATACGATTACTATTACTTTCGGCAATATTGTATTTGCAGTATCAAAAATAAAAAATAAATAAAAACTTACAAAAGAAAGAAACTATCATTTATGAAGCATACATCATATAAATCGCACTATTATGATAATAAAAAAAAAAAGCTTAATCAAAAGATTTGGATGATTCAATTATGTTTGAAATCTTTGACTATAAATTAATGTATGACTTAGGAATTACCCTGCACATCATTGTTATAATTTATATCGTATATACCTTCTTTTTTCATTTTACAATTTGCACATATTATAATATTTTCATCTCTATTATAACAATCATAAGAAATACATGCAAATAGTATTTAATTATTTCATTTGTATAACAAAAGTGCTTATTAAGATCATAAAAAAATTCAAAATAATGAAAAATATGAAATTTTATAAATCCATTAATATAAATCAAGTACTTATTTCTACTCATAGTCGTAATTCTGTCTTATATTGGACTACTTGCAATATTTGTTCGTTTTATATATATATATATATATATATATATATATATATATATATATATTAATACATGAATGCGCATAAGTTTCAAGTCAAAAACTTTCCATACAGAATTCAATTATAATAATAATATGTTATAATATATGAATAAAATCATTTACAAATAATCATAATAATTCAATGAAAATAAATGCAATAAAAAATCTCATTTCTGTATGTAATATTTTCTAATATATAAATGCAACACATAAAAATGCATCAAATTCTGTTTAAAGTTTGCTGTATATAGTCGTATTGAATATCATCTATCGTTATGAAAATATATATACTATTTATGTTCATATAAAGAAAAAGATAAATAAAAAAAAAAATAAATAAATAAATAAATAAAAAAAAAAATGATCATATAAAAATCTTAATATAATTTAAAAAGCTTTGTTTTTAAAAACTGCAATCATACTTCGTACGTTTGTTTTCATTAAAATATTTTTTTCTTATGGGTGGTATTCCCCATATAATAATAATAATAATAATAATAATAATAATAAAATTAATAATAATAATAATAATAAAATTTGTTACCTTTAATACAGATAGCTATTTTTGATATGGTACGTTAACAATGAGCTAAGCACCACAGAAGATTTTCAAAGTAAATGTGGTTGCGATTTACTGAAACTACATATGGTCCTCTTCTTTATTAGTATGCGCTGGTGTAGCTGGAGTTGGCACGTCGTTGAATAAAGGATTTTTTACCTCCATTTCACTAGTCTTTAAGAAAAACGAAACAAAACAACTTTAATAATAATAATACTTATAACGATAGTAATAAAAGAATAATAATAATAATTTACCGCAGCTAAGCCAGGACATTCATAGACAGTGTAGTCACCTTCTTCATTTTCTTCATCGCTTTCTGCATCGGATACAGACCCCGTATCTCTAGTTGCAGAGGTACGACTATAAGCAGGTACAGTTTCAAATGCATAGAAACTTCATTTAAATTTAATTTCATGGAATTACAATATGAATACAAACTTTTCCATAGCGATAATCTGTTGTTTCTGATGTTGGAAATGATACATTTGTGCAGATTGAGCAAGTCTTTGGTCTTCGGAAGGTGATATGTCCTTATTTGGACCTGTTACGCCATAAGCTGGATATTCTATATCAGCAGCTGCTTTTACTCCACGTTGCAACCTGACATAAATATATATATATATATTAATATACATGAATACTTTAAACATTAATTTATTAAAAGATAAATTTATAAATATTACCTGCACCACGTTAAACTGATTAATACACAGATGAACATTGCCGCAGCACTGCAACCAGCAATAATAGCTAAAAATAAATGTTAATGTTATATGTAATAAGCGGATATAATTAGAATACAAATATTTTAAATATTGACACTGTAATATTACCAATAAAATATATATCATCATTTAAATCTTGAGGCATTGCAAAAATAAAAGGACGATTTTCTTCAGATTGTTCTGTTTCCATTAATGTAGAAACATTAATATCTTCTACTTCATCGTGTTTCTTGACATCTGTATCCGTTAATTGTTTTACAGTAGTTGTTTCGACTAATAAATTTTCTTTATTGGTTATTGGTTCGACAGTCATCTCTTCATATTCCTTACTACTTTTAGTATCTGTGCAAAATAACAAGTATTACTTCTTGCATTCTAAAGTAAATGATATTTATCAATAATCCATTTTATACTTTACCAACATTCCAAATGATTTCTTTATAATACCTAGGATCATTAGGTTTAATAGCAAATGGATGTTTATCTTTTATATCAGGTTCACCAAGATAATATGTAAATTTAGGTAATTGTTCAATTGGTTGCATCTGTTCAACTGGTTGTATTTGTTCAATTTGTTGTATGAAGCTTTTATTTTCTTCTATTGTTTGTCTATTTGTAGACATAAGATTATTTTGATGAAAAAACTTCTTTACCAATGCTTCTTTGTTAACATTATCATCAATTTCAGGATTATACAGAGTTTCTTTTGGAGACATTTTGTCTTGGACATATGCAACATCAATATCCCTATACTTTGGATTTTCTTTTATAAATTTATTACGATAAGGTACTTTAGGATTGAAGTAATATTTAACATTCTTAAGCATCGGATTGGTACCAAAATATAAGAGATTATAATCGTTTTTAGGCAATGTCTGTTTTAAATCGTTAGGTTGAATCTGAGAAATGTAATTCCATGGTGTTAATCTTTCATCTCTCAATCTATCGTTGAAATGATATTTTCCTTTTAATGATTTAAAAAGTTCATTCTTTTCTTGATCGGTAAGATCCAAATGATGTTTCATGTTAATCTGTGAGGTCAGAAGTGGTAATAAATATGAATGATGCATTTGTTGTTTACGATTTTGATTTGTAATGTATTCAGCAAACTGTTTTAAAGCGGTTATATCTTGTGGCGCTTCGGGAACTGCATCTAAATACAAATATAATCGATAAGAAATAAAACTAATAACATTTCTAGGTAACACCGCATAATGTTTAAATGTTACAAAGGACTACCTACGTTCTTCATGCTAATATGTAATCCAATTAAAATCACAAGGGCTCTTTAATTTAATCATTGTTATAAACGTAACTATTTAACAAATTAAACACAACTAACAACAGTTGAAAGAATATACACTTTATATATATTATATATGAATGCGAAACATAGGCAGTTAATTAAATTAGTTGCATACTAATAACCATATCACGTTATATGCAAAAAAAAAAAAAAAAGAAAGGAAATAAACCAATTATCAAAACTTACCCTGATAAAATTCAAATTCTCCATTGGTGAATTTGGTTAGAGTACCAAAAATAATTAGCCATGCACTAATAATCAAACTAAATGACATTTTGATCATCACAGCTGTAGGTGTTTTACCCACAGGTTTTTATCGTTGTCTCTTTGTTAACGGTTCCATATGCAAGCACGACATTTCATTGAAGGAAACAGAGCTTGCGCGGTCACGTTCACCTGCAATCAATAACCCCGCCATTGCCCTTTAAGCGTCACCGGTACTTCGATAAACTACTATACATGTATGCAATTCTAATCAGTCAATTCAAGGATTTGACGGTCACTTACATACGTATGGTCACGTGGTTAATCGGATAATAACCTTTAATTATATACAAATAATTCTATTTTTTAAACATCAAATCATTTAATTACAATTTATCTCTCTCAATCGATATAAATATTAGAAAGATTATTTATTTTTCCTATTCATGTATCATTATTCACTAATCGATTATACTAATCAAAATAATTGAGAATATATCATTGAAAAAATGTAACAGACACAGAAGCCATTTTTTCAATTATTATGTTCAACATTCACTATTTAATTAAACACTATTTAAACAACGTACTTCTTGTGAAATCAGTTTGATATAACGGTTTGTAGATAAACATAACCGCAATTGTATTCGTATGAGATTATGTACATAAATCATCCCGGAAATATCGTTGTCTCTATCAAACACACTACCAAAGATAACAAGTTTGTGATTTATACTATCTCTTAAAATTGTTATATTAAAGAAATATATATATAATGCATAATCATGAGTAATATTATTTTAATATGACTGCAATTTTTGATTCAATGTTCTAATAAATCAATTGATATGTCTATGATAATATTTATTTTTCATTCATTTTCAATAGAAGTCTTATTCATTGACATTCTATATATATATACATACATAAGAAAAGAAAACTAATTAGGATAGAATAAAAGAAAAAATGTTAGAGGGAAATTTTATACATTAAATAAAAAGATCACAAGAAAATTGATACTTTTCTAAATAATATTCATATTACTTTTATATTTAATTAAAGTATACTAATCTAAATTATTAAATAAAAAAAAAAAAGTAATAGAAGAAATCTTATATTTAACTTTTTACAGTATTATAGAAAAATAAATATTTTATTATTTATGTTTTCAAGTTTCTTTTTTTTTCAGCTTCGGCTTTCCTTAAATTATTTAAAACGAGAGCTTCGTAAGCTTCAAAATCTTCATCTGACATTTTGTTTTCTACATTAGGTACATATTTAGGTGTATAAGTTTCTTTTGAAAAATTTGCTGATTTTTCTTTTAACCATAGTCCTTCTAGTATCAAAGGATTATTAGCAAAACCAAATTCTATTTCTACAGCACTTTGAGCAGATTTCTTATTTTTATATTCAACCATAGCTCTACCCTTTTTCTTTGAAAAAACAAGCGCAACAATATCACCGTGTTTATATAAAATACGATACAAAGAATCATAGTCATATCCACCATTGTTTACATCATTATTAGATACTTTCCATTTAATTTTAATTCTATAATTTGAACTGTTATCTGTTTGTTCTTGTGATAAACGATTTTGTTTTTCTATTTCTTCTCTCATACGAGTTATTTCTTCCTCTAATAATTTTGAACCTTCTCTTTGTAATCTATCTATTTCAGCTTGCAATTCTTCTTCTTCGGTTAATGTTGTTTTCTTATTTGATGCATTTTTATAAGCTTCCTCTCTAGCTTCCAAATCTTCTTTAAACTTTTGTCGTTTAACGCTAAGTTCTTTGGTACGAAGTTTAGATTGTTCTCGAGCGATGAGTAATTTTTCATAAGCAGCTCGTGCTGATAAATCTGTTAAAATTTCTAATGCTTTAGAAATTTCATGAAACAATTCTGTGGCACGAGGATTATCAGGATGTTTATCTGGATGACATAATAAAGCTTTTTTACGATAAGCTTTCTTAACCTCTTCTACTGTAGCTGTTGAAGGGATACTTAATATATTTAATGATTTCTCGTAAACATCCATATTGTTATTTACGTATTACTTATGCATAATATAACTCAAAAAAACGATGACAGGACAATAATAGTTTTAATCACATGTACAACAAAAATATACTCCTAGGGAGATAAAGATGCAACACTGCAACACGAAATTTTCTGGTGAGATTGTCATAGAGATACTACACATAGAGAACAGACAAGCCAGCATTAAAACCTGTCGGCGAAATAAAAAGAGATAGAACATAGGAGGTTGATGTTGTCTCTTTCTAACTTGCGTTGAACGGCGCATGCGTATTAGTCTTCTAGTAGAGGTTAAGGTTGCTGATATCGTATACATACGTGTACGTAAGCACGGAAAGTCTAATGCGCATGCGCCAGTACCGGATGAGTTAGAGAGAGACAACATTAACCTTTCATTTTTTTCTGCTATATTCATGCAGAGACATTTCCACTTACACAACTTTAGAGATTGCACTTTACTATACCTTCTGCTTCCTTTTCTTTCCAGTACTTTTACTTTACTGTTGTACAACCGTTATTGGACAATGCATTATTGGACAAAAGTATCACTGGCCAATCAACTGCAAGGATTACGACGACATTTAATAAAAAGAACAAAAAATATATAAGGAAAAAGAAAATTGACTTTGCAAGTGAATAGTGCGCATGCAGTGATTAATAAAAAAGGAATTAAAGGATCAGAAGATAACATTAATTTCATTGGAGCAGTATAGACAAAACTAAAATTGTTAGTTTTTTAAATAATTAATTTACAATATCATATGTTTCATTCTTAAAACAATAGATTAACATTTAAATATACTTGATTTGATTTTGACTATACGTACTCTTATGCACATCTTGAATTAAAATAAAATTATAATAAATTATTTTTTTTTTTCTAAGTTTCTTTTGCAGATAATTGGAGAACAATTATATGTTCACCATGCCCGATAAAACACTGCCGAAATTATCTAACTTAACTTTAGGTATGTATTTATAGGGTTATAACATAAGGTAGAAAAGACTTTACTTGTACATGTGATATGATGCAATTGTTAATACATTTACAGACTGTAATTAAAATATATTGTGAAACATTACTATTAAAAGATATAATTACTTGATGAAAATTTGTATATTTGTATATAATGTATATCTTGTATTATTTTTAGGAGAAATTTACACTTCTGAAAAAACCGGTAATGACGAAACTGGAGATGGTACTGAACAAAATCCTTTTAAGACAATTTTACAAGCAATGAGACATGCTGGGAAAGAACCTTTCCCATTGATTTACCAAGATTCACGAGATAGTGAAAGGAGATACGAACCGGCTAGTAAATCTCAATTAAAAAAAGTTCAAAAAATCTGGACAAGGGAGCAATATAAGAACGAGGATAAGCAAGCAAAATTACAAGAAGATGAAGAGAAAAGATTGAAAAATTTACAGGAAGCTAAAGAAATTGTCATTGAGGAAGATAAAAGTCTTCCAGAGGCAACGAAGATTAAAATAAAAGAAGCTTTCAATTTTAGAGACAAAAGAATTAAAATAGTTGGATGGGTGCATAGATTGAGACGACAAGGTATGCACAATTATATCATTTATCTAATTAAATATCTTATCTTTACTAATCAAATTGTTCATTCAAAGGTAAAGCCCTTATGTTCATTACGCTGAGAGATGGAACAGGTTTCTTACAATGTGTTTTAAATGACAAACTATGTCAAACTTATGATGCCTTGACACTTTCTACTGAAGCATCAGTAGAATTATTTGGAACTTTAAAATGTGTGCCTGAAGGAAAAAGTGTATGATTTTTATTTCTACTATATGTCCTCGTAATTGATATTAAACATTAATTTATTAAATAATATTGTTCATAATTAAAAATGTACATCTTAATTAATATTCACATAACTTATAGGCACCTGGTGGCCATGAATTGTGCGTTGATTATTGGAAATTGATCGGAGATGCTCCACCGGGAGGTGCTGATTCCATTTTGAATGAAGAAGCTCTTCCTGATGTACAATTAGATAACAGACATATTATGATTCGTGGCGAAAATGTATGTAACAATGATATAATTGTCTGTTATATTAATTATTTTATATTAATATACTATTTTATTATATAGACGGCACGCGTTTTGATGATGAGATCTATATTAACTCAAGCATTTAGAGATCATTATAAAAATAGAGGCTATTATGAAATAACACCTCCTACATTGGTACAAACTCAAGTAGAAGGTGGTTCAACCTTATTTGAATTAGACTACTTTGGGTAAATTAATATAACAAATATAAAAAAAAAATTCGTCAATAATTTGCGTGTAGAAAATAAATTGAAGTAAATATATTTTTTCAGAGAAAAAGCATATTTGACTCAAAGTTCTCAGCTTTATCTTGAAACATGTATACCAGCAATGGGTGACGTTTATTGTATTGCTCAATCATACAGAGCGGAACAATCAAAGACAAGAAGACATCTTGCTGAGTAAGAATAATCATTTTTATATTTGTTACATTAAGATGTATTACTGTATAATGTTTAAATGAATGTTTCTTCAAACTTGTAGGTATACTCATGTCGAAGCAGAATGTCCTTTTATAACATTCGATGATTTACTTGATCGATTAGAAGATTTGATATGCGATGTAGTGGAACGCGTATTACAATCTCCTCTTGGTCATTTAGTGAAAGAATTAAATCCAGAATTTAAAATACCCAAAAAACCATTCAAGCGAATGAACTATAGCGATGCTATTGAATTTTTGAAAGCTAATGGTATTACTAAAGAAGATGGAACTTTTTACAAATTTGGAGAGGTATAACAAATCTTATTATTTTGATAATTTGATTAGTGAAAAATGATTGTAATATTTTAAATGATATCTCTTTCAGGATATCCCAGAAATGCCAGAAAGAAGAATGACGGACATGATTAATGAGCCTATTATGCTTTGTCGCTTTCCCGTAGAAATTAAGTCATTCTATATGCAGCGTTGTTCAGAAGACAAGCGACTTACAGAATCTGTAGATGTTCTTTTACCTAATGTTGGTGAAATAGTAGGTGGTTCAATGCGTATTTGGAACTATCAAGAATTGCTAGAAGGCTATTCTCGGGCTAAAATAGATCCTACACCATACTATTGGTATACGGATCAGGTAAATAATCAAATAAAATAAAAATGTGCTTACTTTACTTATAATTATTCATTATTAAAACTTGTTACTGATTACAGAGAAAATATGGTTCCTGTCCACATGGAGGATATGGGTTGGGCTTGGAACGATTTCTTTGTTGGCTGCTAAATAGGTACCATATTCGAGAAGTGTGCTTATATCCACGTTTCCTGGAACGTTGTCGTCCTTAAGCTTTATGCCTTCTAAAATTGCTTATGCGAAACTGAATATAATTTTCATAGTTCCAAACCAACCAAATTACTTATGATTAACTTAATTTTCACAATTATGTAATATAGGTAATAAATTTATTTATTCTCTAGAAGAGAATGACACAAGGGGTGCATCATTTTTATTATTATGAAGTATATATATATATATATATATATATATATATAAACAAAAATTATAATATATGAATGTAATTTATCAATATAATGTATCAGCAAGTTACATGCTTTTTTTCATATTTGCATGTAAATGCATCCACATAACCTCATTAAATACTGAAATAGATTTGTTGTTTTATATTTAATCTTTATTATTTTTTTCATTTTGATATCTAATCAATATCGACTATTATCAATTTTATTGTATAAACTAGTATAAACATAAAAATAAATACTTTAATATGTATGGATAAACAGTGATTTATAGATATAGCACCATGACATTCTTCTAGTGTCTCCGCGCATGGCTAGTAGCAGACTGAGGTAACTGCGACAATAGCGCCCTCTGCTTCTTCGTGATAGGCGCTCTCTTTAGGCGGTCTTAATAGACTTGTAAAAAGCATATGTCACTAATTATTTTATATGTACTATTTATTATTTGCAGAAATTAAAATAAAAACACTAGCAAAAATCATATTCTCATGTTTTGATAATTTTTTAATTTAGAAACATTGATTTATTGATATTTTCTTTTCATTGATTTAAATAGTTCGATTAAATATCGATTGCATATCGAAGTTCATTCAATTGAATAGGAATACTTACTAGTGTTTACACCAAACTGACACCTACTGATATCTAATTATTAATTTAGCAATGTTTTCTTCAGCTATTGATTAAAATGCCTAATAAATAAGAGTTGCAATAAATAATCATAAAAAAGTTGTGTACATGTATTCTTCAGATTTTCCTCTCAATATATATTATTATAATTATTAAAAATTTATTGAAATGACATCAAAACCTGAAATTACTTTAGAACACTTTTATATTTTCAATGGCACATATGCAAAAAAAGAAGGCGAAGTGAGTATGCTAATATGATTAGAAATATTCCAAATATTTCATATAATAATAGATTATTTCATTTCAATAATAATGTCAATTTTGTTCAAAAATAAATTATATAGTTTTTAAACTTTTTATTTACATAAATAATAATAATAACTTATAATTTTCATGAATATTTTTATATTTATATAGGAGGAGAAAAAAATACTTTATTATTATCCAGAAAAAGAATTAGATGTGCAAATCAAAAATATAGGTCTCAGCGAAGCAATTATTAAATTTACAGAGTACGTATAATGCAAAAGATACATCATTATTTTGTAATTGTCTAGTCAATTATTTCATTTATTTTACATGATAAATTAGATCTTTTAATCCTGGCCAACCATGTGATTATTGTCATACACATAAAACTCGACAAATTTATTATCAACCAGAGCCAGATTTTTGGATGGTAATGGTAAGATATCATGTAATAATATTATAATTAATGATGTCAAATAAAAAGTCTATATTTGATATTTTTCTCATCAGATTGTTGGTGTACCATACATCTGTAGAGAAAAGGATGGTAACAAATATATGGAATATCAAAATGATGAAATTTCAAGTAGTGTTTGTCAAGCTATATTAAAACAAACTTATATCATGTTTCGATTATTTATGGGTTCTTTTGAAACTATAATCAATGATCCTGATTGTGGCTCCATAACTCTATTAAAACATAAACTTGAGCATTTCTTCTCAAGAGTAAGTAAAAATCTTGTCAATTAACAAGAAATGTTTATAACTTTACGTTATTACAATGAATTTATTCTACAAATTTGTTTCAGTACCTTTTATCATTAAAATTAAATAACAGTGATATTTTGGATGTTTTTCAAGGTTTACAATTTTTACCACTTGACAAAATCACATTTTTACAAGTGCAATGTTTTATGAATCTTATAGAAGCAATGTTTTCTCAAGTTAAATATACAGCATTTCTTTACAATGATCAAGTTGTATGGTAAATAGTTATAAATACTTCAATGATATTATCTTACAAATATAAATAATAAAAACCAGATGGTTTCTGTTATATATTTAGGAGTGGATTAGAACCAGAGGATATGCAAGTAGTATATAATTATTTAGTAAGTACATTATTACCAGCTCATTTAGAAAAAGAATTACATGGAGGATCAATGTCTCGAAATTCCCCATCACCGTTCACAAGTTCTCATTATGGAAAGTATGTATCAATCATTTTTATTTGATTTATTACAAAATAATAATTATCCTGCATTCATATCAATAGATTTATTATTGGACCTTCGAGTATTAATGAACCAAGTTTAGTAGGAAAATCTCCAACAGTTTTTATTAATTACTCAAGCAAACCTGTATCTTTGTATTTAGTTGTCTATCGTGCATTGAGTGCAACAATATGTCTTTTTGTTGATAGTAAGTTTATTAAGAAATCAAATTTCTTATGTTAAAATATATATATATATATATGAAAATAATTCAATATCATAATACATTATACACAAAAAATTTTAATGATATATTAACTTTATTTTAGGTAAAACTAATTTATTAATAGACTTCTTTAAAAGTCTAGATAGTTTTCTTGGTCCACAATTAACTACATTAGTTAGTTGTGTTGCTGAACAATGTGCAAAGCATGTAATGGTGACACCGGAATTATCTACAAAATATTTATATTTTAATAAACTTAATCTAGCCTACAAGAGTACAATACATTTAGATAATAGAAGATGTTCTAATGTACTAACTACTCCTGAAGTGTTAAGGATTATTACTGATATATATAATGATACTAATGGGTAAGAATTTTATATTATTATTAATTTTGTCTAATTATAAATTGACATTATAAAACTATCATACATTTCTGTGTTATTTAGTTTAAAAGAAGCCGGTGAGATTATTATTAAAACTATAAGTGATTATTGGGTTATTGCAAAGTTATCAAATTTAAGAGAATTTTTTGTTGTTATACAACAAAAAAGTGCTAGCATTCTTGAGATCGATGGTATGTGTATCATTTTGTAAAGTGTACATACACTTTCAATATTTTTTTTTATTTTCATACATTCATTTGATATATTCCAAGAAAATATTTATTTTTTTTTATATATATATATATATTCGACAAATTGTTTAATTTCTTGATATATATATTACAGATGAAGTAAAAAGACTTTGTGATAAACAATTAAAAAGTATATTTTTCCACTAAAAGTTAAACTTCAGTGTTGACAAAATAAAAAGGCAGAAAATGCATATTTCAACGAATTATATTACCTTTTGTTTGTAGCTATTTTATAATCTGTTATAATAAACAAAGATGCTTTTAATTATATACATAAATAGTGTATTTTGTTTTCTTTTTTTTTCGTTTTTAAAAATTATTTTTTAATTGAAATTTTATGAACAAGTTGTATTATAATTTATTTCTCTTCGTAGTGTTATGTAAGATCTATATGTAATATAATATAATTCATATTTATATATTTGAATGTTTATATTTTTTTAAGGCACAACATAAAAGATTATAAAATTATCTACATTTTGTAATGTAAATTAATTTAAATTTATATCATATTGTAGAGTAATTATGTAATAACACCTTTTCATTGGTAATAATGTTAAATTGTGTTTATCTAATTTTTTTATTCCGACGTTTCAACAGTTTTTTCTTCTTGTTTTGGAATAATATTAGAGAATTTTTTAAGTTTTGCTACAAAAAATCCATCCATATTGTGAGCATGTGGATAAAAACGTTTGGTCAATTTAAGAGAAGGATGAAACCTATGTTGTCTATAATTTGTAAAACCATCAGCACCAAAATCTAGACCAGTAGGCACTAATTTGACGTCGCGTTTTTTCAATGCATAATCAATAATCCATTCATTTTCTTCCGGAAGAACTGAACATGTTGAATAAACTATAACACCACCTGTCTCAGACCTAGCATTAACACAATCTATAGCTGCTAGTAATAAGTCTCGTTGTAAAGTACAACAACGTTGTACATCCACTTCATCTTTATTGGTTTTTACACTAGGATCCTTAGCAACAACACCAGTACCAGTACAAGGTGCATCCAATAACACTCTATCAAATCCTTTCATAATCTAGAAAAAAACAAATAATACATCATTTTATTAATTATATTTAAATAACATTATTTTAATTATGCGAAAATACATATATGTTATTAATAATGATTATACTTACAGAAGGTAATTTTCTTCCATCGTAACTGCAAATAACTGAATTGACAATTCCAAGCCGATGAAAATTACCAACAACAGCTTTTATCCTTTGTTGATTGACATCGTTAGAAAATAGAACCCCTGTATTTTTCATGATTGCAGCAATATGAGAAGATTTTCCTCCTGGTGCTGCACACATATCCAGAATTCTTTCATTTTCTTTAGGATCTAATGCCATAACTGGGAGAAAACTTGATGCTCCTTGAATAATATAATGTCCTGCTAGATATTCTGGAGTTGCACCCATTGGTACTTGCGATGAAAATACTACTAATCCAACTTTTGTCCATTTTCCTAGAGGATCTAAATTAACACCTCGGTTGATCAACGCCTAAGAAAACAAATAATGATAAAATCATGAAAATATAAATATACAAATGATAGATCAATCATATCAATTTTGATAAACCTACTTCTGCCAAATCACGACGTCGAGTTTTTAATGTGTTTGTACGAATAGTCATAGGCCTTTGTACTTCACTCGCTTCTAAGAATTCAAGTAACTCATCCAATGGGAACATTTGCATTAATTTTTCCATAAGAAAATTATTATAACTATAATATGTACATAAATCATGTTGAAACAATTTTAAATACTCTGAACGTGATCTAAAATGCAAAATAACACACAGTAGTTATGTTTTATTACAATCATTATAATACAAAAATGTGAAAAAAGAAACACATATATAAAAAAACAAAATATATACCTATTTTCTTCTCGTAAATTTTTAAAATCTGATAATACCATCATAACATCTCGTATACGTTGTTGTATTTCTTTCAAATCTGTAACATCAGCAATTTCTTCTTCCGTAGGAAATGAAAAAACACTATGTTGATTACTCATTTCTTTCATTTCTGCTTCCGCAAGTTGCCTATTACATTCAAATATTTTTGATTATATGTTAATTATATAGAAATTATAATTATATAAACAAATGAATCAGTTATAATCATTTGTTTACTTACTCTTCCATTTCTTTTTTCTTCTTTAACTTTTTATTTGCCTTTTCTATTGGCAATAAATCATCTTCTTCATCATCATCATTCATACTTTCATTTTCTTCATCTTCCTCGCTAGATTCTGTATCATCAGTTTCTTCATCTGTATCATTGTCCAACAAATTCTTCGCGTTCTTTAATTTCTTCTTTTGTATTGCCTTATTATTATTATTCAATTTTTTCTTTTGATCATTATTTTTGATATCGTCTTCATTTTCCTCGCTAACTTCCATATCATTGGTTTCTTCTTCTTCTTCTGTATCATTATTCAACAATTTCTTTGCATTTTTTAATTTTTTATTTTTATTTAATTTTTTGTTTTTACTATTAATTTTTCTATCATTTTTATCTTTCTCTGAATCTGTATGATCAATTTTTACTTTTTTAGCAAGAGTTGATGCCTTACCTTTAGTTCTCTTAATGTTTTTATTGGACATAGTTAATAATTCATTTTTATTCTCAATTTCCATATCATTACTTTCATTTAAATTAGACTTTGTATTATTACTTGTTGCTTTTGAAGTACTTTTTAATGATTTGTTTTTTATTTTTTTAATTTTCTTAACTCCATTACATTGTTTATCATCAGACGAAATATGACTTTCTTTATTATTATTATTATTTTTTAATTTGTCAGATTGTACTTTTTTTTCTTTCACAGTTTTAGGTGAAAGTTGAATTTCTTGTTTTCTTTTCAACTTGTTTTGTACTTTATTACTTTTATTTAACGTTGCATTTTCTTCATTCATTTTCACATCATCATTTTTTATACTCTCAGCGATATCATTTTTGATTGAATTAACTTTATTTTTATTCAAATCCTTTTTAATTTTTACAATGTTCCCTGTGTCTTTGAGTTTTTGTATATTTTTTACATTTTCTTTTAATTTCTGTTTCTTCAATAATCTTTTCTTAGCTCTTTGTTTTTGACGATGACTCAATGCACTTTCATTTTTTACTATAACGTATTACACATATAATAAATTTTTTGTTTTAATTATATAAATAAATTATATACTTAAATCATTAACAATAATACATTAATAGAACATACCTGCTAATTTTTCAAATATTGGATCTCCTTGCTTTTTTGCTTTTTTACCTTTACCTTTAACTTTGCTATTAGGTACATCAGTTTTATCGAATTTCGCCTTTCGTCCCATTTCATTAAAAACGATGAATTTTTAAACGGTAAATACAATAAATTCAATATTGTATGTTATAAAATAATTTAACACTATCTTGCTTTGATATTAACTGAAATTATAATTATATTTTAACAAAAATTGTATTAAAAGATATATATATATATATATATTTTTTTATTCTTTTATATATTTAGCATTAGATTATTTCTTATTAAAGATTATTTATAGATAATTTAATTAATATCATAGAGTATTTACTATTTATCAAAGCCGAACACGTGAATGGAAGAAACATAACCTGACATATATATATATTGACTCTTTCTTAAACCTTCGAGGTTAAGAAAATGTGCCTATAATTTTAATTCAATATTTCACGTTAGGTGGTGCAGTGATATATCCAATTTTTTGTTTTATTTAAATTCGAATTTTTTGATTTATTTAAATTATGTAAAATTATTATCAAATACATACGTGTCTTTTATTGTTATCACCATTTATTTATACAATATATATATATATATATATATATATAATTATAGTATAATATTCAATCACGCGTACTCGTAGCGCTATCTGGCATTGCGGTAGAGAATTAAAATGGTAGTCCGTGTTTCACATTGCAGAACTAACCTTCTTATAGGTATGTAAGCAAACTGAATCAAATGCATAGCGGCTTATGCGACAAGATCTATAAATAATTAGAATAATCATAATTTATAATATTATTAATATTCTTTTTATGGCACAGAAAAAATAAATGATTACATTTCGATGTAAGAAGAAATACATAAATTAAGAAGAAGTTGAATTCAAATGATAGCATCAATTTAACCTAACAAAATTTTTAAAAATGTTTCAAAGGTTTGTATAAAATTTGTTAAATATACTACAGTAATGAAAGATTTTTTTATGTAAGAGAAGATTTTCTAATTTCTCTTCTTCTTTTATTAGATATTTTTAGAAATATAATATATGATATATTTAAAACATTGTAAATTTACAAGTTTTACTCTACTAATTAATAAATATGATTATTTTGTAGGTGTGTAAGTTTATGTTTAAATAATTTAAAGTTACAATCACATATACCTTCTAAATATGCGAGTACATTATCAAAAGTAGAAGCAAAGAAAAGAAGAAATGCTCTTTTCGATGAAGAAAAAAAAATGCAGCGAAGTGCCATAGGTAGAATAGAAAAAATAGAAGTTAAATATAAATCACCTACAGAAGATGTTGTTTTAATTATGAATAAAGATATTTCCACTCCTCACGATTGTGCCAAACATATTTCTGAAGGTGTTACTAATGTTTCTGCTTTGGCATTAGTCGATGGAAATCCATGGGATATGCATAAACCTTTTAAATCTGATTGCACCTTAGAACTTGTAAACATGATGAATCCAAAAATAAGTGTAATTAACTATGCTTTTTGGCGAACTTGTTCTTTTGTCTTGGGTGCTGTAGCTGATAATGCTTTTAAAGATGACTTGACAGTTCATTTACACAGTTTTCCAGTACCGGTAATAAAGTCTGGAAGTTTTGTATATGATGTATTTATTGATTTACCTGATTGGAAACCAACAGAGGCAGAATTAAAAGCTATGTCTGCTTTATTTGTTAAATTTATAAATAACGAGATGCCTGTAGAAAGACTCGAAACAACAGAATTAATCGCACAAGAAATGTTTTGTGATAATCCATATAAATATAAACAAATACCTAATATTGCTGCTAATAGTGTTGATAATAAAGTTACGCTTTATAGAATAGGAGATCATATAGACATTAGTAAAGGTCCAATGATAGGTAATACGAAGATAATAGGACGTTGCACTGTTTCTGCAATTCATAAATTAACATCAGATGACGGTGAAGTACTTTATCGTTTTCAAGGAGTCGCTATTCCTAAAGGAATTTATCTCAATCATTTTGCATATAGTATATTAGAGGATCGTGCTAGGAAATTAAACGATGCAATGTGGCAACCACAAAAAGATTTAGAAGAAGATTTTGCAGAAAATATACAAGTAGGCGTTAACAATTAATAAGTTTGTAAGTATTGTATAAATATATGTAAACTTTATAAACTAATTTTTTGTTAATTTGTTTTAATCCTATACTTTTTATTTTTTATTAATTAAAACTTTTATTTAGAAATTTTACTTAAGTATTTTAATGTTATTGGTAAAATTATATCATTTATTAATATTAAAAAGAAATATATATATATATATATATATATTTACTCAATAACTTAAATACAATTTTAATAACATTTTGTATAACTTTAATACTAAAATTTTCGGAAAAATCATAAATTAAAATATACATAAGTATATGTAAAAGTGTGACATTTTATAATAATGTTATTTATTGATAGATAAAAACTAAAATATTGTTGTATATATAAATTGATGTCTTTTCGATATCATTAGAATTTTTACAAAATACATTTCTAACAAAGTAGTATAAATAAACAGTGTAATCATAATTTAGATTATACACGAATAAATAAAATATGACGAAAATTTGGATTCTTATTAATATTTAAAATATTATATAATAGATCATCATTGTAAATGATATCAAAATAATAAAATAATAATTGTTTCAATACTTTTTACTTATAGAAAGTTCATCTCAGTTATATAACAAGTGTATATTATTTTTCTTTATTTTTATATTATGATAAAAGAAAAAAAAATTATACTTGTATAAATGTACTAAGAAGAATGATGCACATGACGAGAACTATTAAGCTCCCAAGTAAAATGTCCTGGTAATCTATTAGCGATTGAAGCAGGACACATGATATCGAGTTTTAAATAAAGCTCCAAATGATTAGGAGTTTTTGTATATATATCTAATTCATTAGACCGTAATAATGTTCTTACTGCAAAAGGTGCCAATTCTGATGAACATTTCAATTCAACAGCTATGACGAGATTGAAGCAAGATTTTTTCTGTATTTCTTCAATATTATCTTGCGCATTCTCGTGATCAATTACTGGCAAGGATTTGAATTTGTTTTCGTAAGCATACTTATTCATATTTCCATAATAAAAAAATTCTCCACCGTACTCTCCATAACCAGAATATGTGGATACTGGAGGCATTCTTGGAGGTGGTATCGATGGTTCCTATACATAAAATTTAATCACTATTGTATATATGAAACTAGCAAAGTATTTATATTCTTATGTAAATTAAAAGAAAGTAGTTCAGGATACAGTAACATTATAAAATGTTACCTGAATAAGTACTTCTCGTTCATATTGCAAATTTTCATAATAATGTTCATTGACACTGACAACTAAACGACGTAGTCTAAGATACATAAAACGTTGCTGATCTTTCCATGAATTTTCGTCAAGTGTATTTGGAATTTTTAAACAAGTGAACCAAGCTCGTTTCATTTCATATTTTAATTTCATACTAATGATGTCATTTTTGATCCCTTCGTTAGACAATATATTGAATGATAAAACCTTACGTCCTTCTGCAAGACAATCTAGAACATCTACGGCTTTACATCCAGACACTAAAGCAGATCTAATTATAAAATTACCTTGTAAGTTTTTTTTAATCTTTTTTATAGAAAAAAAAGAAGAAAAAAAAGAACAGAATTACATTTAGAAATGAAAATATTGTATATTTATATTATATATTTCTTTATTTGATCATATATAAGTATATTTTTGTGTTTACCTATTCACTCTGCTTTCAGAAACTTTTTCAAAATAGTTCATAAAACGCTTGCAATCGGATATAAAACAAGCAATTCTAGAATCTGGTCCATGAGAACCAGATAAAGAAACTGGACAATTTACAGCACGATGAAGCAGATTATTTAAATTATCAAGTAGACCACCAGCATAGAAGCAAAGTCGTGAAAATTTCTCTGGTTTTGAAGGATGCGTATATCTCCAAGTTACAGCTCTGAGCATCTTGTATTGTGCCATGACTATTTCTAGAATATTGAATACTCTGCTGAAGGTTAGTAGGTCAGCACCTGTCTTAACTTTCCTTATCATTGTTTCTGTATGTTTCATTGCATTTTCAAGTTTTGTACCAGCCGAAAGGAATGCAGCATTCAAAACTATGGTAGCAACGTTTGAACAACGTCTGAAAATATCATTTAATCTTTTGATTGATTTATTTATTATTATTATTAAGTATAAATATTAATCGGTAATTACATTTGAAATAATAATTTATTACAAATGTAAATGATCGATTAACAGTTATTCCTGATAATAAGTAAATGAATGATGATAATAACAACGATTATATCAATGATGTTTTTTTTTTTTTATCAAAATGAGAAATGATTATATTTTAATGAATATTTGTTATTTTTCACCTGGACACTAAACGAACTGAAGTAGCTACATCATGTAGAGGTAATAAACGCAATACTATTTCTAAAACTTCTGGTGGAAGTGTGTCCAAGGTGTGATAATAAAAACATTCATTAGCCGTATGCTTGTGTACATTTTTCTGCTCTAAACAACATTTCGATGACGTTTTTCGACGCTTATTCGTGCTCATTTAAAAAGAAATCTTAATAACAGTTATCTTCTTAATGTCCAAATTTTTGTGGTGTTTGTTTTCTTTTTTTTTTTCTTTCTTTCTTTCGAATATTGTATGTTTCAAATTAACATATTATTTTATTAAGATAATTATATCAATGTAATATGTTGTTTTATTAATGTCGAAAGATATATTCGTATTTTATTATCATTTAAAATCTATGAAAGTAAAAAAAATTAGTAAAAACTAAAATGTCATATATAATGTCTTTCGTGTAATAAAAACAAAAGAACTGCTGTTCTATGAAATAATTGCGTTCATTTTTATAATTATGCTTAAACACAATGAAAATTTCTACAAATATATAGATATATTATATATATATATATAATGTGTGTTTAAAAAATACAAATTACAAATTTATTTGCAAATATGCATTATTATCTATAGAAATACAAAAATGATTCTTCAATATCAAATAAATTGTAAATATGATGAGATAGTATTTGCATTTCTATTAGGGTAATACTAGAGATGATACATTAAAAATTACGAATAATAAAGTTAATGACTCTGCTGGTATTTCGTCGACACATCGATATTAAAATTTTATTAAAATATTCTAGAAATAGTGCACAGCAAATAATGTTACATGTATTTGGTTTTTTTCTTTTTTTTTTTTGTAATCTTTGTTATTTTTGTTTTTTTTTTTTTGACCGTAGGTGTGAATTTAAATATTTATTTTATCTTTTCTCGATAACAAAATTTCTTATAAGGACTTTTCCGACGAAACAGAAACATTATTAATGCAATACATAATACATTGATTCTATTATTAAAAAATATATATATATATATATAAAAAAAAAATGAACAAAAAAAATATTCAATACGACAACACACATGAGAAATTGAAATTCGTTATATTGGTATAATTTGTCATCGGTGCATCTTCAGAAAACTAATTAAAGTTTCAACATAAAGTCTATTATATCTCTAGATACACATACAAGAGAAAAAGCTTTTAATTAATACATTTGATACGTTTTTATTTAAGCTGTAAAGTTCACCGGCATCAAAAGAGTAAATTTAGCCTGATCAGCTGGCACTTCCTCGGATGCACACGGACTAATGCTATCCAAGAGATTTTGTATAGCACTCTGATTCCCGGGATGCTTTCTTTTGGTATGTTCGCGTCGGTGTTTCAATTCCTTAAACGTTTTTCCGCATTGTTCGCATACGTAAGGCCTCGCTGCTTCGTGGGAACGTACGTGTCCCTCGTAATGACTTTTTCTCACAAATTTTTTGCCACATTGGGCACAATCAAACTGATAACGACCTTCGTGAGCGGCTACATGAGAGCTCAATGTCCATTTAGTTTTGAATGTTTTTTGACAGTAATCGCACCTAATTTTAGACGCGGCTTTGCTACTAGAAACATCGGCCATTTTATCAGACGATGTTGTTCTTCGTGGATTTTTATGTAATAAGAGCATCTCTTCGAGAAGGAAATCATCCTCCTTTTCATTTTGTTGAGCAATCGTTGCCTGAGCCGCTGCCGCTGCCGCCGATTGAGCTTGCAAAATAACGCTCGCGTGTTGCTTCAAATGTTCTTGCAAGTCGGCATCATTTTGAAGGTGTAACTGGCATATGGCGCATACACTTTTCGTCATTGCCTGAAATGTTCAAATCATATATATATATATATATTTAGAAGATCGATCGATTGATACGACATTTACACAATGTTCAAAATAATTGAATCATTTAAGATTACCTTGTCATGCATAGCGATATGAGCTTTTAACTTGCTCTCATCCGAATATTTCTTCTTACAACGAGGACATGTGTACGTCTTAACGTTGGTCGTCTCCGCATTTCGAGGAACTTCCGTCTTGAATGACTCGTTCGTCCTCAAAGCAGACTCGTTAACGAGATTTTTTGGATATTCGAGACAACCACCAATGACCATGTTGTTTACTTTCTCATCTTCCGTTAACTTTTCCTTTCGCATTTCATGTCGCGCGATGTGACGCTTTAAATCGTGTGCTCTTGAAAATGCACGACCGTATCTTGCACAATTGGGATAAGGACAGCCTTTCGTCTTATCATTGCGAATTCGCGGTACAGGTTTAATCGTTAAAACTTGTTTAGAATCCTTACCGCAATCTTTACAGGATGCTTTTTCGACCTTTTGTCCGGAAACAGTGGCCAATTGAGCGGACAATGGTATCACTATGGAAATGGTTTCGTTCGAGCCCGGCGTCATTATCGGACCGACGTGTATTGTTGGCGGTGTAGTTAACGACATACCGTTGTTGTTGTTGTTGTTATTATTATTATTATTATTATTATTGTTATTCCTTCTATTCATATTTTAATCAGGCACCAAAAAAAATCCTTTTATATCATCCAGACAGTAGCTTAGAAACATCTATTTTCGTACCTGAAATATAAATATTTTCAGCATACAAATAAACAAACAAACTAACTAATTAATGGAAAGAGAAGAAGAATTGTCTATTTTCAAACGTATGTATGCAGTATATATAAGGTGAGTCGTCTAATTTGTAACAATTTGATAAATATTATTAAAAAATAGAAATATTATTGTTACCTGTTTAAAAAAAACAAAAAAAAACGTTTTTTTAAAATTGACTTGACAATTTTGTTCATTCGATATCCCTTCTAAGTTACCGAGATATTGACTTTTAACAAGTTGAATGACTCACCCTGTATACACGGTGGGTAACATAAAATAAAACTATATAAGAAACACAGTGGAAAAAACGATTGACGATTATTTTAACTGATGGATGATGATGATGATAATAATAATAATAACATAGAAAGAAAAATATGCGATTGAGGTAATACATTTAAATAATTACACGAATGAATTGTCTTAATCGATGTATTCTATAATCGAACGCATTTCGTATTACTAATTGCAAAGTTTAAAAGAGAGGCTCGCATAATCCAACACGTGAAGGTTATATACAAGGTTCGAATCACCGTTTCTCTACTGATTTGAATTCATTTATAGTCGGCATCGAAAAGAGCACCGTTACCAAGGTATTCAACTTCGCGTGAGAATAAATATAAACGTTCTAACGTTCTGTTACGTTACGATGCAGAATGTAAAAGACGCCAGCCATTTTGAATCAATTCACGATATTCGTAAAAACCCTTCTTCTTCTTCTTCTTTTTTTTTTTTTTCCTTTTTCCTTTCTTTCTTTCTTTCTTTCTTTCTTCGACGTAAGTACCTATTAATCCTCGTTAAATAATAATAATAATAATAATATTCATTAAAAAGTACCTTGTATTTTGAATTCCATTGGAAGAAAATCTAATTAAACTGTAAATATAACGTTTTACTACTAAAAAGAATCACGAGAAAAGGAAAAGAAAAGAAAAGAAAAGAAAAGAAAAAAAGAACACACAAAAAAAAAAATGTCTCTAATATTTATCGAAGTATTTTTACAACGCCGTATTCTTACTTCGTGTTACGAAGAGAAACACAAGTCAGCGCGTCCGTTTTCTCCCTTCCGAGGGATTCCCTTCGGAATAAAAGGCTTCCCCTGACGAGCTTCTTTTCCCTTTTTTTCTCTCTCTCTCTCTCTCTCTCTCTCTCTTTCTACCGTTCGAGGAAACTTTTCATCTAGTATCTCTCTCGTCCCTTCTCTTTTCCATTTTCGCATTGAGCGCGTCTGCACGTGCAGCAATCGTCATAGTTGTGTGTTCCCTTCCACCATGAGAAACCGATTCCTATATTCCTTCGCGTCCTTTCCCCCTGTTCCTGTCACTCTCTCTCTCTCTCTCTCTTTTGCGGTCAATGTCGCGTTTCGAACCTTTGCATTTTTTTCTTTTTTTTGTTTTTTCTTTCGTTTCTCCTTTACTTTCTCGCGGATATATTATGTTTCTAGATTAGAATCCTATAGGTATTCGAAAAACAACGGAAATAAGGAATGAGGGAGGAAAAAAGACAAAAAAAAAAAATAAGAAAGAAATAAATAAAGAAAGAAAAAGATAGATAGATAGATAGATAGATAGATAGAGAGAGAGAGAGAGAGAGAGTAAGTAATAGATTTTAGCTACGATCTCTTTTGGAATTGAAACATGCTTTTACGATGAGTTGACGTTACTGCAACACTGTCTCTCCCTTTCTCCATACTCTTTCTCTCTCTCTCTCTCTCTTTCTTTTTCTTTCTCTATATTTCTTTCTTTTTTCCTCCTTCTCTTTCTCTTTTTAACAAATAATATGTACACTCTTTTTCTTCTCGCGATAATTCTCGTCTTTCACTTCTCTTTGCTCCTCCCCCCCTCCTATCCCCCACTACCCCGCGACAAATCGTTTCTAAACACTTTTTTTTTTTGCTTTTTTTCTTTCCCCACCTAGGTTTTTCTCGAAGAAATGACGGTCTCTCTCTCTCTCTCTCTCTCTCTCTCTCTCTCCCTCACTTTCCTCAGAGCTCGATGAAAGTGTCCTACTGATTGAGAACAACATACACTCTCACTCCCGACTGTACCGCTCGCTACGGACGCGAGAAGTGGAGTGTATTCGTGGTTCGTCGTTGCTTCCTACCCTCCCCTCTACCGCCGCTCCCATTCTACCCTTAGCGTCCCTTTCTGACCGACCACGATGACGTAGAGTTAAATGCTGATCACGTGACCAGTCCCTCCCCCCTTTTTGACTTGCGCGGGATAAATCTGTGAATTTGAAAATATCTATAAGTGATTTTAAATCCTGTTTAAATATAAATTTCAATATATTATTTATATATATATATATATATATATATATAAATTTTTTTTTTTATAAAATAAGAACCAAAATCGTAATGTTAGATTTGTTTGTGTTTTTTTTTCTTTTTATAAAAGTAAACTATATATATTTATGATTAAATTCGTATTGTATGAGTTACACGCGTTATGGTTAACATTAAATGGCACACCCACTTTTTTATTCTCCCCGGGGAAAAGAATTCTATGCTTAATCAACTAATGGTATAAATTAGTATTTTACTTCGAAAAAGATTCTACTTAATAGTAAAATTTGTTTTATATTATTATTGTATGATATTAAAAATATGATACGTATGATGACTCTATAAACAAGGCAAAAAAATTGTACTGTTACGTTTAATTAGTCTGAAGATATTTCTATCATCTTTCCTATGCAAATGAAACCGTAATACTGACAATACCAGGTGTACGATAACGTAATAGGAAATCTAATGTAATTAGTAATTTCTAATTAGTATGATAAGTGACACATAAATATCATTGAAACACAGGGGAGAATATATGTATACATATTATTAATTTACTATATTGATTAATATCAGATTAGTTTGATTAGTAATTAACTTTTATGATTACTTATTGCATGATATTTTTATGATTATTCTAGTGAGATAACTAATACTATAGAATTAATATTGTATAATATTAAATAATTGGATATCTGGATGACATGGACCTGATGCACTTACTGTTCTATAACTCTTAGAATTTAATTACGTTATTAAACCCATAAACTTAGTATCAAAGGGTTCAAACTTGACCCTTCAGTTATAAATTTTTATAGTTTTCTTACATACATTACAGCAGTAATAAAAATGAATATACAGAAGGTAATAGAGTTACTTGAACTATACTTATTGTCTAGTTGAAACAATAATACTGAATACGATTTTTTGTTTCAGCCAATGCATCGAGTAAGCTTAATTGATAGAAGCTCATAGGCTTTCCTGGGTAGAGTGTTTCGTATTAGGTTAATTAATGTATTCACTTCGATGTAATAATATGTATCTACGTGGATACTTAGGCTGTACTACCTACGCTATCTATAAATCGATATTTCTAATTTCATCGAAGAAGCACAATCACTTTGGTTGTTGCATACATAATATTGATGTTACGCAACATTTCTATGAAAACGGTTCTTTGAGTTCGTAATACTTCCTATATAAATGCAGATCTTCTTGTATCGAGTATGAAAATGAATATCAATCACAATAGTATAGAGAGACGAATTTTTCCATTTGTCGGCAAATAGCTTTTCTTCGAAAGTTAAAAAAGAAATTTTATCCTTGCTGTTTTTTCAATTTTCCATTGAATTTGATCCTTCTTTAAATTAGTCAACAAACATCTCTTTTATCATACATCGTGAAAGTTAAAAATAAAACAAATTATTATCTTATTAAATAATAGTAATGAAGAGATTGAAAAGATTCTCTACAAAAATTTGTAATATCATTTTTAAATTACGAGATGACGCATGCATACGTACAATATATTCACACAAACATAAATACATATATACATACATATACGCTAAAATTAAATATTATTTATGAATTGTAAATAGAGAGTTTGCTTTGTGTATGATTCATTCACAATGAATTATAATTTATTAACGTTACTATCAACGTTACTAGTAACGTTATTATCATTGTCGATAATATTTCTTATCCAATTCAAATAGTGTTGTATCCTAGTGTAGACGTCAGGATATCCTGGACGAGCACAACCAGAACCAAACGAAGTAACACCGACTAATTGCCAGACGCCATCCGAACGACGGCATTGTAGGGGTCCTCCAGAATCTCCCTGATGCAAAAAAAAGAAAAGGTAAAGTAAAACTGTTTAAAAATGATTCAACGTTTACCGATTATGTTAATGGCACTAATACCATAAGCACACTGTTACCACGATATTTTATTATGTGAAAGCGTAAGAGAAGGCTAATCAGAATTGAATTAGCACTTTCGAAACATAAAACATGCTCTATTACTCGTTACAAGATCCGATTCAGTGTAAACGAGTCTACTGATGCGTCGTATGATCATTAAAATCATTTATTTTATGAAGATAGATCGATTAGACTGATCGTTGCGCTAATATTTTTACAAAAAAAAAAAAAAAAAACATTACATTTGCTGTAGAGATATAGAGAAAGTACGGTAAGGAAAAGCAACATCATTTTCTCGATGGTGTAGGTATCCTTTTACTTTGCTTTTATGTATTTTTCCTTATCTCTTATTTTACTCGCACGTCAATATAATCGAAATGTAATTTCAAATGAGCAATGTTAATTTTACGAAAGGCGCCATGGTACAATTTGCTTAAGTGAATCGAAGAAAGACATTATGGACGGTAATCGCATTTGGTTCAATTCGATTGGAAAATAGGACAGAGTGACAGGAGAAATTAATCTTAAAGAAGAAAAATGAACTGATTTAAAAGAATTTTTTGTCTGTTTATGTTCTCCGGAAATCATACGCCTATACTCACAACACAGCTTCCAGAAGAGCCATCAACGTGACCAGCACACAAATGACCATTAAGAATAGGAACAGATTTTCCATAAGCGTGTAAGCATTCCTCAAGATTTAACAATGGCACCGAAGCCTCAAGGAGTGCAGTTGAAAGAGATGGCGAAGGTCCATAACGACCCCAACCAGATGCTACGCAATTGGTATCGGTGAGTTCTTCCTCCGCCTCCGGAAGACATATCGTCTTCACTACCTTGGAAAGAGGTGCTGGTCTAGCAAGTTTCATCAGAGCTAAGAAAAGACCAACAAAATATATAATCGGTGTGTTCTACATATTTCTGTTTATTCAATCGCCTTAAATGCTTATTTGCTCGTATATTTGTACCTATTTATCGGATCGCGTGTTTGTTATTTTACCTTTCAAATCTGAGGTAAGTTCGTACAATTAATTAATTGATATTTCATTCTGTTGTTATTATTTTTTTCTTTTTTTTCTAATGAAACACATACTCACCGATATCGTGAACATAATTATTAAATCTTTCATGAAGTATCACTCGTTCGACAGGTAATCTGGCTGATCCACGACCACCGGAATCCAATTCCCATTCTCCTACCACAACAGTCCATAAGGCACCAATTGGAAGATTAAAGAGATCGCTAAGAGGAAAAAGAAGGTTGACGAAAGCACTTTTGTTATATTTGAAATTATTTTTATAAGATGCTAACTTGTGAATACAATGTGCCGCTGTAATGACCCATTTAGGATCGATGAGAACTCCACCGCACCAATGACCGATAAAACCTAATTTTGGGTGTAGCAGCTGAAGAGAGACTTGCCACGGCCAAGATCCTCTTCTGCTGGGTTTTCCATTGAAAATTCGTCCCGTCGTAGAAACAGCCGTTTCCCGATTGGAAGTCGTGGATGTAACTTTGTTCCTCCCAGAAGTTGTTGATCGTGGTTGCCTGTGAGACGCTGCTGGACATCCGCACTCTGTTATTTCAAAAACTTCGGTTCTTCCTTAATTGCCTTCTGCGAATTCTCACGCGAGACCGATCGAAATTTAATTCACATATCAGGATCAAATTTGAAATTTTCTCTTTTATTTATTTTTCTTTTTTTTTAAAGAGTTTAATTAAAGGGACCAAGTATAACATTGGCAACAACAATAAACATTGATAAAATGTTTTAGTTTAGTAAAAAAAGATTTGATATTATAAAATTCTTTCTAATAACAATTTTCTTTTTTTAGACAAAGTCAAGCACACGTAACTTTATCTGAACTTACTTAAATGATCGTCTCGAATGATTTTCACCATGGCGCAATCGACCACCGCGAAGAGGAAGAGAATAATCGCTACGAATTCAACGCGCAAATAATACATGTCCGTTGCACGTAAAATTGTTCGACGATTCTTACAAATCGATTTGAAAATATATACAAATGTGTCGTTACATATCGTTGTTATTACGTTAGTTTGATAGTTAATATCGTTAGTTTGAATTTCATTGTAATTCGCACACGAAATACATCCTTGACAATTAAATTAAACCTTCGCGATTTGATGTTTGACGCATCGAAGAAACGATAAGAATTTTATGATCGAAAAGAGACAGTGATAATATAATCCTTGCAACTGTCTTATTCGCATTCGTTTCGAGGAGAGATATCTCCGCGGGAAGAACTTGAAGAAAGTGAGCGCGTCCAAAGGAGCACCGCGATCGTGCCGAACGGATGCAGACTGCGAGATTGCAAGGAATGAATATCGTTCTTGCCACGAAAGTTCCTACATAGTATCCCCGTTTTTTCACTACTCTTTTCCTATCAAAGCGATCGGAACAAATTACTCTTTCGTCGTACGTACGACGTCTATCGAAATGTCCCCTCGAAACCACTTGAAATTTAACCGATTTTATATATGCAATAGTACACACATATTTTTATCTTCAAGACAATCTCTATACACAACAGGAACTGAAATAGAAATACAAACAATAAGTAAAAGTATATACATATATATGTACTTTTGCATAAAATGATGCTTTCAATTAAAAAAAACAAATAATAATGAGGAAACAATTGAAGGAAGTAGTTTAATTGTCAGAGAGATAATCGTTTTGTTAATGAACTTTCGCTGAGAAAAGGAAATTATCAGTTTCACTTCTTACGATCAACAAGTTCAAAGATATCAATGGTATACTATCGTTATTCAGGCCACTTTGATGTGGCTAAGAAAGCGAACAGGAATGACGAGTGGTTTGCTTTAAGTAAGTGAATGCTAAATGTATTGGCCTTTAAAATAAGATGCAAGCCAATTTCATTGATCAGTATTCATTTTTTGAAGGTTTTTGTTTTTGTTTTTTTAAATGATACAATCGAATCAATGTTCATTAAAAGATAAGACAGCAATTGATAGACAGGTAAAATTGTATTCGATCATTATACTTTTCTAACTGCTCGAATTAAACCGTTTGATTTATCGCTGTACCACTTTTTCTATGCGTAATTGCGTTTCGCTATACTTGGTTGGTCACGAGTCGAAGAAACGAACGAAGAAAGTTCATCAAAGTGGCTCGACGGCGTGCCATCCGTGTGTCAAATCCTTTCTTCCCGATTTGTTTCAATCCTAATCAGACGATCATTCTCGCGCGACCTCAAATCCATTCAACGCTTAAAACGCGTTTACTGTCACTGTTTTATAAAGTGAAACCAATGGAACGCGAAATTTACAGCCTCCCAACCATTTTCGCATAGAGAAAGTGAAACCGTATTCGTGTTTACGAAGAAAACAGAAGAATCATCTTGAATTATTCTCTTTAAGGCTTAAAATAACGTCGTTTCAATAGATCCAACTTTATATCGCGAAATTAATAACTTTGATTGTTTAATAATAATATACATACTACAAATTAAACGAGAGTTTCATTTTGGTTTATTTAATAAATAGTTTTCTTCTTTTTTTTTTTTATTCTTCAGATTTCTACTTATTTTCTATGTACATGTTTTAACCTTTTGCCAAGAAAAAAACTCTCTTTTGATCAATTTTATGGGATACTTTAACATTATGGTTTAAAGTATTGTGTACTTTCAAATTTAAAATAGTTCGATCTCATCGTACGTTTACAGAATTATCAAATGTTGAAGTATGCTTTAAAAATATCTGAAATGTTTAGATAATAATTTATTTTTTGCGTTGTAATTAATGTAATTATTGCTACAAAAAAGAAAAAGAATTTCTTTTTTTTAATATTTAATAAAATTGGATTAAAATAATAGGAAATAAATCGAAATGATACAAACGATAGTTAAAGACAAAGTATATCGTTATATCAGGATTATTGTATAATTATTTAATTATGTGTATACAAATGTATACAATAAAATTAAAAAAAAAAAAAAACAATTTATTTTCAAAAAAAGTTTACTATTTTAATAAATAAAATAATTACGGAATATAAATATTGAATAAAAAGCATAAAACACACTTACGAAGTATTCGACTGTTTCGAGATATCGATGAAAGGAATAATAATCGATAGTGATTGGTTGTTCAGCACTTTCGATTATTTTCGATTATCGAACGACTAAAATTAGTACATGAAATAATTTCAAAGATGAATTATAGTAAATAATTATTTGCCAATTAATACGGAAAATCGATTCCTCGGAATATCGTATAAAAGACGAGTAATATAAAAAGAAAAATATATCATTGAAGTCTAAAGATAGGTTTTAATCAATTATTACAATAATTTCAAATTCATTGTGTCAATGAAAATAATACAACATATATAAATATAAAGGAAAAAAAAGACAATGAAGTATTATAATATTGGTTAATTTTCTTCAATAACAAATTTCCCCTGTTATTTAGATAGGGGATAAATATGGATAAATAAATTCGGAGGTAATAGGTATATTTTTGAACATACTCGGGATGATCGACGGACGACGCAGAAGTATTGCGTCACGTGGGCAAGCGCAGAGAGCGGGTATTTGTGAGAAAACTGGCGCCCTGGTGGCGGTCTTTGGAGCGGCCATATTTTCGCTCGTGGCTCATAGTCTCGGAGGTAGTGATTTAGTGAACATTTTTGGAATGCGACAATCGAAATCGTTAATATTCGTGCTGTTAAATCCATAAAATAAGGAGACAATACAGCAAGGATGGCCAAGAGTAGCGGAAATTTATCTTCAAAACGATCGTCATCGCACAATACGAAACCTTACGATACGAACAACGTGAGTGGAGTCATATTGGCATGATTTACCCGCGAGAGAAACGAACCCTAAGTTAGTTCTAACGGTCCTTCGCGCCTTTATATCCGAATAAAAAAAAGCTAAAAAGTTATAATCATTACATCCATATAACCTTTATTTCATTTAATATGTCCTGTATAAGCACCCTTTTCCTAGGATGCGTTCCCAAGAAATCCCAATGCCTCCACGGTTATGTGAGTCTTACCAGTAACCTCAATCTTTCTTTCTCCTCATATATGCGATTGCGTGCTCTAACGTAAGAGTCATCGCTTTGGAGCGATAAGTAACCTTGATGAATTCTCATATTAGGAAAAATACATATAACTTGAAGAAACCACTAGAACATCTTACATTACATAAGTTTTTACTTTTCCTTTCCAAATTCAACAAAATTCTTCTATCCAATTATTAATGTTCTTTTAAATTGTTCGTTTCCTCGTGTAAGACAAGTCTATGCAAACTTTCAATATTTTACAAATAACTTTTACTTACTTATTTTTATTAAATTTACCTTACATTTTGGTATAATACAAATTGTATAATTATCACATAATTGTATATATGTTTCCATTAAAAATGGAAATAATAATGGACATAGGAATATATATATATATATATATATATATATACTTTATTATATACAATAAAGTAAATTAAAGTTAAATTAATCATTTTAATAACTAATAAATGTTTATGAGTTTAGTAAATTGTAAAATAGCCAATTGTAGAAATAATACACACGTGTATATTATACTAATGATATATTGACCTGTTTTAACAGCACAAAATTAAAATTCTCTTCATTTGGTATGAATATATAAATTAATTAATTATACTATAATATGATAAAGCATGGAAAGAAAATCTTAAATTTTGAATTATCATATTTTTTGTATTTGTTACGAAAAAGTTATAATTTTTACAATATATCTTATTACTTATTTTGATTTTTATATAACAATTCATATTGTAATATAAAAAAGTTACCACAATTGTTGATCAATTAAATATAAACATCTACTTATTTTTTTCTTCTTTGCTACTTTAGATTATTTCTACATTTGTTATATTACATCTTTAATATTACTCTTATTTCTTTTTTTTAGTCATTTGTTAAGAAGGTTGCTAATAGAGTAACAGAATTTATACCCCCATTATGGATCAGTAAATGGTTCAATACATCTCAAGATAATGGAGATGTTTCCAACGATACTGAAAATCTCGAAGAAACAGAACCAGAGGAGGATATTGAAAAGCCTCCACCATCAAAAAGACCACGTATTCGTACAGATATTACCCATCCACCTGGAACATTTTCTGTTAGATCAAATGTTGTAACATCACATAATAAGACAAAAGATCATAAAGGAAAATATTCTACACAAAATGATACGGTACAATATAAATGAGAGATTAATAATTGATATGATATTTAACTGATTACAAATTATATTTGTAAATATAATATTGCAGAGAGATGATTTTCTTAAGCCTGCAATAGCTGGACCCAGTGGGATAGGTCATTTAATATGTTCTACGCCTACCACACAATTAGATAAGCCTGTAGCTACCCAAAGGTCTGATTTAAATCTCCTAATTTCAACATCAAATAATGTAACTGCTAATGGAACAGATGATAACTCAGAATCAAGCGAGAGCACCAGTGGTTGTAGTTCTCTTATACCACAAACTAATCGACAAGAAGCTCCTTCTCATGAAGTTTACAATTCACAATTTGCTAACAGAAAGCGTTTTATAGATGATAAATTAACATTTAGTAAGAGTAATTTATATTTCTTATTTCATTTTGTTCATTAATATTTTGATAGTACATAGAAATTTAAGTTATGTTTTTATTTCAGCTAATCACTTACAATCACCAAGAGCATTGTTTATGGATAACAGTCCTCGTGATACTGTTAGCAGTCATAGACCAAGTTTTAATGCATCAGTCTTGACTAACACATTGGACCGTACATCTGGATTATCGTCTCCCTTTTATAGTGGAAATACCACATTTGGAGGAGCAAATGCTGTTGAATTGTACAAAAAAAATCAATCAAAGTCACTTTTACTCAATACTTCTGATGTATGTATATATTTGCATATAAGTTATTCATTTGACTTGTTATATTTTTAATTATATGAGTTATATTGTAATTTTAGATTCAACTTAAAGTTCCAAAAAGACCAAATGTTCAAGTAAAACCATCTGCTACAACGGTTGATCCATCGGGCATGAGTCAAACTGCTAGAAAAATACTGGAAGCTTTGGAACATTTTTCTTCACCTATATCAGATGCTAAAAAAATTCCAATTAAAAATACAAATATTACATCATCTTTGGATAATAAAAAACGTCAGCGAGAAGAAGAAAATGAATCTCCATCTACTACTCGCGTAGGATTTAGACCTCCAACGCGAGAATTAGTTGTGCCAACTGTTCCCACTATAATTAAACTAAGAAGACGTGAAAAGTTGCAAGACACAACATTGGCTGCACGAAAAATTGTTTCTGCTCATAATAATCCACCTCCTACTGGGGAATATCGTTTAGGGTAAGTTTGATATTTAAATCTGCATTAAACGATTTAATTCTAGTAACTGTTAAAATTTCAAGAAGGAACATGTAAAACATATACTATATTTAAAACAATTTTCTCTCTTTTTTTTTTTTTTTAGACCCGATGATAATAGAAAGACAAAGCATACTGGAAAAATGAAGGCAAAAGCCTTGATTGAAGATTATACTGAAGTAGTTAATTTACCAAATGTACCTCTACCAATATCTTCTTTACCTAATTTTAATTTTAAATTACCTCAACCAACAACAACAACAACAACAGAAGATCATTCAAGGAAAGAAGACGATTTCAAATTTGCTAGTCCAATTAAAGTCACACAGCCAACAGAGAATTTACAATCTATTAATAATTTCACATTTAGTAGTCCAATTAATGCTGAAGATCATTTGAAAAATTCGTCAGCCAGCTCATCAAATGATAATAATGGGCCTACGGAAATACCTCATTTTATCTGTACTTCATCTACTGCTCCTAGACCCAAAGATGGGAAGAAAGGGATAAAGAAAGGAAAATCTAGATATTCGAGTTCTGATAAGAATGCTCTACTAGGATTAAAACTTGCTCGTGATTTGACAAAAGGTATAAAGAAAACGTCGTCTTTGAATAAATCAAAGTCCTCTTTGAATGTAAGTACTGAAGAAGATACTTCCGATAAAAGTTTTAATCTGTCTGCCAATGAAGAAATGGACGATTCAACAAATAAGAAATCTGAAAATCTAAGTGAAGATACTACAAAACAAGAAGATAAATGGGAATGTAATGAATGTTTAATACGAAACGTTAACAATGAAACACGATGTTGTTCTTGTAAAGCTTTGAGACCAAAATCAGACGTGCAAACTACAGTATCTCAACCAACTTCGAGCAATGCTACAGAAGCAAAGAAACCTGAGACGGATTGCTTTGGAACTCATTTCAGGATTAGCAATATTAAATGGGATTGTATGACTTGTTCTAAAACAAATAAATTAACTGATTTTAGATGCGTTTCTTGCAATGCACCACAAAGAAGGAATTTAAATCAAACGAAAACATCTTCAACAGACACAACTAAATCTGAGTCCATAAATATGGATGCTGAGAAACCATGGGAATGTCCAGGTTGTCTGTTAAAAAATGCTAATTACATTATTACGTGTCCTTGTTGTAAAGCATCTAAACCAAATTATTTAAAAGATGCAAAAGAAAAGAGAGACAAGGAAAAGAGAGAAAAAGAGGAAAGAGAAAAAGAAGAAAGAGAAAAAGAAAATAATAAAAATATTCAAGCAAGTGCTTCTACTGAAGAAATTAATACAACAAGCTCAAATACTTTACAATCATCTAATCTCGAAATAATGGACAAATTTAAGCCTAGCAAAAATTCGTGGGAATGTCCAACTTGTATGATTAGAAATTCTGATTCTGTTACAATTTGTCCTTGCTGTAATACCACTAAACCAAATGCTAAAAATAACCAAACCGATAAAGTGCAGGAGCTACCAGCAAATGGTTTTGGAGATAAATTTAAAAAGCCTGAAGGTTCTTGGTCTTGTGATACTTGTATGGTACAAAATAAAGCAGAAAATGTGGAATGTGTTTCTTGTAGTAGTTTAAAACCTGGATGTGAAAAATCAAAAGAATCCACAACGAGTACAAGTTCAAATCTGAAATTTAACTTTGGTATCCCTGCCAGTCCAAACAATTTCAAATTTGGTATTGATAAAGCTGATAATCCAAATAAATCTGCAGATTCATCTATAAGTAGTTTTAAATTTGGTAGTACTCAACAAAGTGATCCTGGAAAGTTTACATTTGGTATTCCTAAAGGAGACAACAATACTACAACTAAGATAGATACTAGTACCTCAAATATTGATCCAAAAACATCAGTATCAGGATTTCAGTTTAATGTGAATAGTGACAAGACTACTACAAATAATAAATCAACTGAATCACTTAAAGAAACAAACACATCATTTTCTTCTAGTGTATCTAAAAATGAGAATTCAATATTCTCCTCAACTACAAATTCATCTCCTTTTGTTTTCAAAATGAGTAATACAGAAACTATTATCTCGGAAAAGAAAGAAGATTCAAAACCTGCTGCAGAAAATATCACAAAAGTAACTCTTGTACCAACAACAAGTACTACAGAGTCATCATTATTTTCATCAAAAATTGATAATAATATTTCCTTAGTAGCAACGACTACTCAAAATAATACTTTGGAAAATGCACCTACTTCTACATTTTCATTTACTGTTCCAAGTACTATACCAGTTAGTAGCAGTACTGTTGTATCAGTACCAGCAACTACAAGTCTTCCACCTTATACTCAACATTCCTTTACATTTCCTGATGCAAAAACAGTTACACAAACCACAACTGCTCCCACTTTTGGACAAATAATAACAACATCAACAACATCATCATCATCATCATCATTATCCAATACCGCTTCTACTTTACCTACATTTTCCTTTGGTTCAACTGAATCTGTAGGAGCCTCTGGTACACCAATTACGACTAGTAGCACAGTAGGAGGAACACCAATAACATCACAGATGTTTACAAGTGTGTCCAAGCCGATGTCATTATTTAATAATACTGATGTAAAAACAACAGTAGCATTTGGTACAGGACAAACTAGTGCACCAACCTTTGCTACAGGAGAAAATAAACCATCTTTATTCGGAGCACCAGAAAATAAAGTGCCAGTATTTGGATCATCTGAAAACAAACCACTTTTTGGATCATCTGAAACCAAAATGCCTGTATTTGGAAATACAGAAAAAACAACTCCTGTATTTAATGCACCACCACCAGCAGCAGCACCAGCAGCAACACCAGCAGCAACACCAGCATTTGGTTCACAAACAAATAATACTGTTTTATTTGGATCATCGGCTCCTGTTTTTGGAAATAACAATAATACTAACTTTGGTGGAACTTCAGCACCCAATATTTTTGCAACAACGAAGCCAAATGATAACAATGCATCGAATATCGGATTATTTACTTTTGGTGCATCATCTAATCAAACAACACCACAGGGAACTGGATTTAATTTTTCAGCAAATAAAAATCCTGCTGAAACAGCTTCAAAACCATTATTTACATTTGGCAGTAATTCAACTACACAACAACAGTCAAATAATCTGTTTGGAGGAAGCGGTTTTAATAATGCAGCACCAACTAATACAGGAAGCACCTTTACTTTCAATGCTCCAAAACCAGAAGTTCCTTCAGGATTTGGTCAACCAACAGTTGCAGCACCACTCTTTGGTGGAGTACAAAATAATCCAAATCAATCAACATCAACTTTTTCATCTACTTCATCTACTAATACTGGATTTAACTTTGGAAGTACAACACCTGCGACAACCTCTGGAAATTTCACTTTTGGTAGAATGGTAAAAAAAAAATAAACACAATTATTATTTCTATTGTCTCAAAATATAGTATACATTTGTAAGATACGAATCCATCGCACAATTATATTATTGAAACAATTGTATTCAGTTAAAAAATTAGTTTTGTATACTATAAGTTGAAACAGATAAAATATTATTTAGGATAATAATAATAATAATACTTAAATATTAATATGTAGGAACAAACTGCTGCTGCTCCATCAGGAGGAGGATTTAATTTCAATTCTGCACCTACTACTACGCCAACTCTTGCTTTTGATCCTAATACACCACCTTCTTTTAACTTCACTGGTAGTAGTGGACCTATCACTACATTCAGGTACATGTTGTAACAATTTAAGAATAGAAATCTATAAAACTTATTTTATTGTAGTATATATGTTTAAAAATGTTTATATATTCTAGTGCTCCCCCTTCTTCAAGAAAAATTAAGAAAGCTGTGAGAAGAATGCGATATACAGCAAATGATTCGCAGCGCTAATAAACGTCTGCTGTTGGATGCGGCTTAACATCAGCTGCTGCATCTTCTGTGTGTTTCTTCTGAATGTATGTTTACAAGTTTCAATATAGTATGAAGAAACTTTTTCAGGTAAATTGATCATGTCAATGTGGTGGTATACCAAGTATTTATGTAATATAGTAGCCAGCTGATGAGATATGCTTGAGTACATCCACTTGTGTTCTACAGCAAGAACTGTAAATTTTAAATTATTTGAATTATATACTTATAATGAAGAAAACAATTTGAAGTTGTGGCATGAAGCCAGTTTTTATTAATTAGACACACATTGTGTAATGTCACATTGCATTACTAGAATCTTGCCCAGAAAAGACGATACTAAAACTATTAAAATGACAAAGCAAATTATCTTGCTGAAATATGAAAAACAAAATTCCTGATAAAACAATAAGAAAAAAGAAACTCGAACATGCACTTAAAGATGATGTGCAATTAAAAACATTTTAACAAAGGAGTGACAACAAACAACTCCTCAGGTAAGTATAAGTCATTTACAGCTTGCGACGGTGACATTGTAGGAAATAATTGGGGTAATTAATTTCTAATAAAATAATTTTTATATTTGAAAATGATTTTCTTTTTACAAGCACTAGTAGCAGCAGTAAAATCATCCTATGTTTTCGATTATGTTGTGTAGCATATATGTATTGTGATCGTCATTATATGACTGACTTTTTGAAACGCAAAATAAGATTATATAAAATCTTGTATATGTAAACATATTTACATTGAAAAAAAAAAAAGATAATGAGGTAAACAGTGTCTCCTAAAGAAATGTACCTCGACTATTTCGTACGGGGTTAATACGTTACAAGCACTGTGAATTGACTATATTTAGATATATATATATATAGATATACATGTATATGTATCATATAATATACATATGTATCTATATGTATATGTATATGTATATGGTATAATATATATATATATGTATAAAAATATATATATATATATATATATA